AACCAAGCGAAAGAAAAAAACAGCCAAAGGTCATAATTTTGTACATCTAGATTAATCGAAACTAGTCGATAAGTTGTTCAAATGTACAAAGGCCAGAAAGCAAAATTTTTCTTGCTTTTTTCAACAATTACAATTAGAATTTCAACCGAATATTTCGTCAGTGTATACAATCAATACTACTGATTATAAAACGGTGAGAAAAATCTTTTTCAAGCTTATGGAGTTAATTAAGCGTCCTTTCTTCCCCGGAAGTTCAAAACTTGTGCGTTAAAAAGGCTAGTCATTCTTGACCCGAATTACAGTTTCTTTTGGGTCTTTCCTGAACTGAGATAAAATTGTGAAACAGAATACTGACCAAATCAAATTGAAAGTATTCTATCAGCCGATAAAGCCATTGATTTAGCAGATCACATGTAATTTGCAATCGATACAGTCTTGACTAAACAATGGACTTCAAGTGGATTCTGATCGATGTTAAGTGCACTTTGATCGAGATCTGTTGTTCCCCATGAGAATACTTCCCATAAAGCCTTTAACATCCGATCAATTCTCCCCTCAAATAAACAGGTAAACAAAGAAACAAACGTAGGGACGACACTGCCTGGATCACATATCCGAATGGAATAGTTTAAAGCATGGTTTTCCGAAATCCTTTCTGAACTGTTTCCTCGCAAACAATTAGGTTGCTTTTATCTTTTCTTTTTTTCTTTTTGAAAAGGGGAAAGCTCTTGCAAAATAAACGGGTCCTTCGAATCGAACTTTTCATATTAAAAAATATTGTTATTAAAAATCGAATTTTTCTCGATTTGTTTTGTTTGCCCTGTTGTTAACATTCCCTGTCCCCACAATTGTCTTAGCCATCATGATCATCCTCACGATCTTCTCATCTTTTCTTCCCCCTTACTCTTCTTCTTTCTCCTCTTTGCTTTCCCTCACCTTATCACCCTATTATTCCTGTTTGCTTGTCTTCCTTGTCCTCTGACTTGTTCTACCCCCCCCCACCCATCCTCCTCCTTCTCCTCAATCTTCTCCTCCGTCTCCTAGGCCACCACCGCTTCCTGCTCCCTCTTATCCTCCTTCTACTCTTACTTCTCCTCATCTTTCTCCTCCTCCTCCTCCTTATGCTCACCCCCTCTCCCCATTCTAGTTCCCTTCTTCTCCCGCCCTTCCTCCTGCCCCTTCGCCTCCCCTAGTTCCTTCTTTTCTCTGTTCTTCTTTCCTCCGTCCTCCATCACAAAGGAGTTTAATATGGACCCCCCCCCAAGTGCCATCCCCTCCCCACAGAAACCACACAGACGCTCAAAGCGAAGGGAAAATGAATCAGCTCTCTGATACGTTTTAAACAAGTGCTGCCAACCTTTCCTTTAGCTCCAACATTTTCAAAAAGAACATTGTTGACAAGAACCAGCTGTGGATATTTTACATAAGTTAATTTTAACTCTGTTTTTATTTTCCGGGGACAATTCTGTTTTCTACACTCATGTAGAAAAAAAGTGATCAAAGAAAACTCACAGATCAGTAGCGTTTGGAAGGTCACTGGTGAGCGAAAGCTAGTGACGTTGGCTATATGTTAAAGAATTCCGAAATTTCTCTGGTTACTTGTATACACGGTTTCTTCTAATGGTACGATTTAACCCCTTTATTGCCTTATGCCGTACCTGGTACGTCATGAAAAAGCGTCATTTTTAGTGTTGTGTCGTACAAGGTACGTCACGGAACTTCGAAAAATTTACCGCTCCTGGATGCCTGTATGACGTTACACGTACGTCATGCTAATAACCTGGTTCTAATTCTTCTGTACAGAAAGTGAATAAATAAACTCATTTTTAAAAAGTGAAGAAACTGAAATAAAAATACATAAGAAATACTCCCGCCCCCCAAAGAGGAAAAGAATATAAAAATACCCAATAACAAACGGAAGTAAGAAACAAACAAAAAATAAAATAAAAAAATAAAGAAAAAGCAGAGATGAACTTGTATCCGCCTGAAAACAGCAACGTCAAAGACACCTTTAAGATCAGAAGATTCGGCCAGATCACTAGGATGATGGTGCGGTTTGAAGAGTTGAGTCTAATATTCATTTGGCTGGTAATGAACACTTAAGTTCACCGGATCATCGCCTAGCTATGTCCGAATAGTCTCTGGAAATGGCGGTTCTGCCATTAATAAATCCATATTTGATAAGGACAGCTCATCGACACAGGGTTTGAAGTGATCAGGGCCTCGCTTGGTATCGGGTGCTACGTCACTTGTGTGACAACAGCATCATGCATTGTTGATACACGCAGCCAAGTGGAACCTGTTAGTAAACTCACACTTTACTAGGTCTCTCTACCATATGCGATGAAAATTACTTGTCGTTTCTGACGGTCAGATCCTCGTCCCCCCCCCCTCTTATACTTCTACAGTTACCATCCTGTTTTTAACGGGGTTTTTTCGTGAGCTAAAAAGCCATGTTATCAGACTGACAATAATATCGGAGCGAGATAAATAGCCTAAAACAACAAACAAGAACTGTTACAATAGACAGAGGAAAAGACAAGTAAAGAACCAAGAGTGATAAGATAAGATAGGCATTATAATATAGAGATTACAGAATGTTTAAAAATGAACATTCGCGCCGAGGAAAAAGTGACATTGCACTTGAGAGAGATGGTAATTATAACGGAAAGTTTATCCTATTTTGCTATTGAAATGCTTGTCAGAATTACTTTTGATTGCCTTCTAGCTGCTCCGAGCTTTTAAAATCCCTGTTCAACAGATAGAGATGAGTGATTTCAAATAGGAAATTTTTGCTTAAAACTACTTTTACCCGAGTTTAGAACCAGGAAAAAAACCATTGTGTTGGCTGGGGCATTCAAAGAACAGGGAAGTTTGACCGGAAATGAATCATGATCACGGGACAGACTTTAGTGCTTTATCTCTCTCTCTCTCTCTCTCTCTCTCTCTCTCTCTCTCTCTCTCTCTCTCT